GTCATCAAGAAGAGACAAGAATTTTACACTCAAGAGTGATGAAAGGACGGAGTACCCAGCATTCCCTGACTGTGGAAATGATCCTTCAAAAGTAGAGAGTTTATCAAGCGAGCAGCAACAAATTTTGAGGGAGTTTGTGACTCATACATTATCTTGCATTAAATGTTAAATTCTTCAAACAGAAGGGGAAAATGGGGGGGGGTGCTTGTCGCACAAACATGAGGACCTGTATTGAGGGAGATAGAGACAGGAGGATCTCCTGAGGTCACTGGGTAATCAGCCTATCTGAGTTACTGAGCTCCAGGTTCCATGAGAGACTCTGTTTCAAAAAATAATGTGAAAACTGAGTGATGACGACACATTAGCCTCAGGCCTTCATGTGTGTATGTGCACATAACAAAAGCAAACAAGATCACACACACACACACACACAAACTCACAAAAAGTACATGTATCTACTTAAAAACGAATAGCTTTAGAGAAGGAATAAATGAAGGTAAAACGAAATGCTTCGTTCTTGTTGAGACCGGTTAACAGTATGTTCCACATAATAATAACAGCAGTAATTCTTAATAATAGGTAGCAAAAAATGGCATAAGGATGGGGCCAAGAGATTGGGCACAGTCCTTATACTACCTGAGAAGTGGCATGGTGGTATTTAAAGGGGCATTTTGGCTATTTATAAAAGTTTTTAAAACTGGGGCAACTTCTAAAAAAGTGTGTAAAATATGAATTGTAATTTATATGAATGAGAAGAAAAATAGAATCATAAAATTGGTAAGATAAAACAAGAGAAGATAGAAATACCAAAAAAGAAAGAAAAGAAGAAAATAACATGACATATTAATTTAGCACTATCAATAATTTCTTTTATGTGAGTTAAAAGGAAGTGATAGATTTTAAACTTTAACATAAACAAGGCCCCAGGTTCAGTCTTAACAGTAAGAAAAAAAATGCAGACACAGTCAAAGTGTATAAAAAAGAAAAATAAAATACGCCCCAACAATAAGTCACCTTCCAAAAATCTTTAAATAAAAGCTAGTGAAGGATATATCATGCTAACACTAATCAGAAGAAAGCTAGACTGACAGTGTCAGTCACCTCCAGGGCAATGAAGGTGATCAGAAATAAAGGAAATGTTTCAGAGTGATTCCTGTGGCTGAAGAGGCTCCCTGGCTTCTGATAATTGAGCTGAGGACCCAGTGGAGCAGGTGTTTTAGCCCTCATCAAGAATGAAGTAGGGAGGGCAGAGAGGGCAAAGTCCTGAGGTAGTCCTGAGAGTGAGGAAAGACAGACATCCCATGTGGCCAGTGTCAGAGAAGGAAGAAGAGGGCTGGCAGGTTGTGTAGAGCCTCCTGGGTCACAGCAGAGTCTGGACCAATATTCTGACTTTGATGACCTTGAGAAAAGCAGCAAGCCATCCCAGGCTTCACCAAGTTCTGTAAAAATGGGAGTATAGAGGAGTTGAAAGAATGGCGTGCTCTATGTTAGAGCTCTAGGCTCAGAACTCAACGGCAGTCATTTAATTCATCATCAACTCAAATGTTCTTGAGCTTTTAAAACCCCTTGTCTGTGATTATTATAATCTCTTAACTAATTAAAACATAGATTAATTATGTATGTGGAACAAATTAAGTAATCAGCCTACTTATAAGACATTCATTGAGGCGCCACGTTGTTTCCCAATAGGACTTACTCATTACTTGGAAATTATTGGCTGTGTCTACCCAGGCTCTGCAAAATTGTTTAAATCTGCTTTTCTCTCATCTTTCAGAAAACTATCACAAATTCAGTGAGACATTTCCTGAGCAGCCCAGTCCTTAGAGTGTTTTCCCTTAAACAGAACTGTATACTTTCGAAGATGTCTGTTTCCCCTTGCCACATCCTACCCTGAACCACAGAGCATGTGAAAGGTGCTTTGAATATAACATGTTTTTACTTTTCACAATTTTTTATTGTTTTTTTTTTTTCCAAGCTGGAAGTGTCTTCTAATATTAACTTTTTAGTTGATATACCTGTCTCCCACTTCAGCGTCTCAGGCTTAAAAACAGAATTGCAAATATTCCCTTGTTGTTTGTTCCTAATTCCTGGGGGATTGCGGACTTTCCTAAGGGGAAAGCTGTGACCAGTCACTGAGTCCTGGCTCTCAGATATATATACAGGTGGTGTGTTCTGACCTTACCAGGAAGCCCCAGACACTGTCTTATCGTTGACATCCCTGGCATAGGACCAGTCCCTGGTCTGCACTGTCTCAAGAAGTTCCTTCATCCTTTTTGGCTTCTCATATTAATGCTTCTTCTTTTTCTTTTTAAAGATTTATTTATTTATTTTATGTATATGAACACTGTTTTCATGCACAGCAGAAGAGGGAATCAGATTCTAGTACAGGTGGTTGTGACCCACCATGTGGTTGCTGGGAATTGAACTCAGGACCTCTGGAAGAAGAGCCAGTGCTCTTAACCGCTGAGTCATCTCTCCAGCCTCTATTGATGTTTCTTTATTCCGAAATGGTATATGGTTCTTTCATAATTGTTCGTTTTCACTTCTTGTTATAGGTTTGCTTAGAAGACTGGTGAGAAACATGGGAAAGCACGTTGTTTATAGTTCTAATCAACCCATAAAAGGTTCTGTTTGAGTCCAGATGAAGCAATTCTTCCTTTAGAGCATCTGTAAAACTTCTTTTGGGAAGAATAGAGAGTTATTCTTGACCAAACATTTACAGGAAAAGCTGTTTTTGTCTACTCAAGCCACTGACAACTTTCTGCGTGCCCCTTTTCCCACATATGCAGAAGCTTTTAATAGCCTCTCTACTTAACCTCTAAATTTAAGGTTATTTCCTAATTCATAGTTGTGGTGAGCCTTACCATACGCTTAACTCTTCATAGCAATTGTGCTCATTATGGCAATTGCTCTTAACCTCTCAGATCCTTTCTTTACACCCGTCATTCTGTGCTATAAGCAGGTATTCTCCTAGTGGAAAAGTATTAATTCTCTCTCTCTCTACCTGAATTTTGCCATTATGGTCTCTGGCTATCTAACTAACAAGGACCACCTAAAAATTACATCTGCACCCTCTGTATATAGATGCATACTAATGAAAGCCTCTTCATATTTATCTGCTTCCAAGATTCCATCCTGTATCCACAGGAAACAAACATAAGGTCAGCAGAAAATCAGATTGTAAACCTTTGCATTATATTACTGTCTTCTTGCACGATAAAGTGAGTGCCAAAAAACTGGACACAAAAATCATGGCCATATATTTGTTATGAGTGCAGTATCTGCAGTATTGGGATGGCTAAGTGGAAAACCAGGGAAGGAGGCGATTTCTAGCATGGCGTGGGTCTCAGAAGGCCTACACATGCAGTAGTCTGATTCTAAAAACCCGAGGTTCTCTGTGAAGCATTAGCCCAGCTCTGTTTGGGAGCATCAAAATGTTTCAGCCGAGTCCTTGGAAGAGTAGTTCTTATGTATTAAATTGAATTTTGTCCCAAATATTGCCCTTGCCCTAGCAGCTAGATGTACATCACTCTTAGGCTGATGTCCTTGACGGTGGTAACAGGTAGCACGGACTTCAGGATCACTGCTTCTCAACACAAAGCTGCTGTTCTTGTGTTTACAGCTGGACAGTGAGAAGACTTGGATGTAAAACTGCCCTGCAGCCAGCCTGATGAGTATAAATTAGTTTGCGGTATACCTTCTGGGTGTATGCTTTTCAGCCAGACAATGTCGATCTCGAGTCTCTACATGTACACACATCCATGTGCACATGTGCCTGTGTGCAAACATGGTCACATAGCACGTACCCACAGTGTAGGTCAGGTGGTGTTCTCCACTTCCCAAAGCCCTCTAGAAGGCTTCTATTTTTCCAAGAGTAAAGATTGAGAACTCTTATAGTTTCCTGCAAGGCTCTGCTTCTTTCCTGCCTGGGCTTCCTTCCACTAAGTTGACTGTGGTAACTGGCTCTTCTGCCTCTGCTTAAACACATTAATCTTATTCCTATCACAAGCTACATACCTGTTGTTGTTCTTCCTGCAATGCTCTTCCATGTATTGTGCTCAAAGCTTGTGGCTCATTCTTCCATCTCCCATAGACTGTTAATGAAACATTTTCCATTAAAGCCCTGCTCCCATTTTGATATAATTGGATATATATCCCCCAAAGTCTTTTGCTCTTCTCTGCATTATCTTCTGTTTTTTTGTACATATCATATACTGTATATGTTTAGCTGTTTACTTCCTGAAATCCGTAATAAAGTTTGAATTAGGTTATAGCAGAGATTTTTCTTATGTGTTCTTCCCCTGGCACTTTAGTAACTAGATTAGAATAAAAGGTCTAACCTATAATAAATATTGTATAAATTAATGAAAAATCAAGAGAAATTGTAGGTGTAAATTAGAGTTACTAGCCAGCTCCAGTTCCAAATCGCACAGAACTAACAGTCTCCATGATAGAGAATGGAATTAATGAAATTCTAATAGAAAGGAGGAGAAAAAACAAAAAAAACAAAAAACAATGGAATCCAAAAAGACATCGATGACGACTATGCCCACATGGTGGAAATGGTTCCAGCAAAAGAAAGCCAAGCCTATCTTAAAAGGAGAAGGGAGTGAGGATAATGCAGGACCTTGGAAGCAGAAGGAAAATTGAAGAAAATGAAGAGTGTGTGCAGGAGAATACCGTGAAGTGTGTCTGTGTGCCATGCATTGGACACAAGCATGTAGAAAGAATAAAGCTCTTATGTGAATGACAGTGTGGGGAGGTGGTCCGTCATTTGCCATTTTAAAAGCCTCATAGGAATTTCTCATGAAGGAGCCTGGTGGAGCAGTCCTGCGCTCTTTGACTTGAAAGCCCTCAGCTCTCTCTCTGAAAAGGCTTACCTGTCTGGGTGACAGTCTGTGTTTTCATCCCCAGTCTTCCATACTGAGTATCTGTTCTCTTCTCTCTGCCTTAACTCTTGCTGGGTTTGAGCATAGTTTTTTTCTTTTTTGAACCCACAGGTTCCGTTCTTTGGGCCTCTGTTCGATGGCGCCATTGTGAGTGGGAAGCTGCTGCCAAGCCTTATCTGTGCCACGTGCATCAATGCCAGCAGAGCGGTGAAGTGCCTCATCCCACTCTATCAGAGCTTGTATCTTTTTGCTGTAAATGTATAACTTATTAACCCTCCCTGGGGTGAGATTCCTGACAAGCACTCAGGAGAGGTAAGCAGGCTTCAGGCCCAGGCTATGGTGCCGTTTGTTGATTTCTGTGAAATACAGTGATAATGTGCTGCATCAAACATAGAGTTTGTTTTCCTAGTTTGTTCACAAGTCTGTGTCTGAAAGGCTGCAGCTGTCACTGCTCAAGCTCATGGCCTCTCAGGGTTTTCCCAGTCACATGCCACTGTGTGGAAAGAGGGGTATGTAGCAAATCACTGAACGTCTCATTCAGGGCACCAGAAAGCAAAAGCAAATGAAATGACTAATAAATTAAAAACTGCACACAGCACCTGAGAAATGCAGAGTTCTGAAAGATGGAGGAAAGAGAAATGATACCTGGCTGGGAGAAGAGGGAAGGGATTCCCTGAGTCAGTTTGAATCTGGACTCATCAATAAGAGTGGAAAGAAAAATTTTTTGGTAATTTTTCCAATCATTAATGTTTCCTCTTTTAATCCCTGACCTCATCTCTAAAAACAGAAGAAATTTCATGTTTCTAATTTTTCTCTGAAACATTAATTGGGATATATAATCCTTAAATCCATATTTGGTTTCTAACTGTAAGAAAAGAAAAAGAAATTAAGATGAGTGGCTTCATAAAACTGCTACAAAAAACATCTGACTTCCTAATAAAACTTAGAATGTCTGTTTCTAATTGGTATTGATACTGATTAAAAACACATTCCATTTGACCTCTTTCCATAGACTTATCCCAGCCTAATTGTACATCCCAGCCATATTGTTGATGGGGAAAGGGTGAGTGAGAATAACATGTAAAGATATACAGTTTGTGGAAAATAACTTTCCTTAAAATATTGGTCATTTCATTGACTTAAATCCTGCCTTTAGGTTTAAAAAAAAAATACATATGCTGTGTGGCAACTTAAAATTATCATAGAAATTAGTAGTAGAAAAGAGCTATTAGGTCCCATCTGGTCCCTCCCCCGGGGCCAGGCTGCATGATTCCCTCCAGCGCACTCCCCCGCTTTGTCCAGCCTGGTGGGAAGCGTTTGGAGGCAGCATGCAGCGGCTTCCAGAATACTCCAGACATAATCTATAGTTGCTGTCGGTTCCGCCTCCAGCATGGAATTGTTATTTCACATAAACTGCAGCTTAGAGGAGCTCCGTGGCAAAATTTAGACCGACCCATCCAACAATTGGTCCTCAGTTGGCACACGATTGGGATGAGCTAGACACCTGTCAGTCACCTGCTGGACCAAGGCAACAAAAGTCCTTTGAAAACAAGAAAATTCTATTTTGTAGGAGTCCACTGTGATTTTGTTTTTATCATGTCACCCTTCTCACTTATTAAGCATATCATAAAATCAATGCTTTATCATTTTGTTGAGCAGTAATGAGGTACCTTTGGAGTGGTCAGATTTAGGAAAAACACTGTTTGTAAAAGTTGAAAAGATAATGATCAGCATGCCCTAAAAAGTCTCAAAGAAATCATATCAGGATTATGGGTGCCAGTACCCTAAAATAGCTCATAAAATGGATGGTTTAGCATCTTACAGGACAACTTAATATAAAAAGGAGAAAAAAATAACAACAAAACCTATTATATTTATCATTATAAAGTTTTAAATATTTTTTATATTTTAATTAAGTTATGTTATTCAAATAAATGATCTAAACAGTAAATAAGATGATATACACAATTTTTTATCCAGATGTAGGAAAACTTGTGAGAGAAAAACCTCATGATCACTTAGTCACAATTTCTGCCTGCAGAATTGCTAATATTCTGGTTAGAAATATATGTGTGTGTATGTGTGTGTGTGTGTGTGTGTGTGTGTGTGTGTGTGTGTGTAAAAATGAAGAAATGGGAGGGAAGAAAGGGAGATTTTGTACTTTAAACATCACCACTGGGTTTTACAACTGTATCCTGTACCTATGCCAGCTATTAATAACCAGGTGCTCCCTTAATGCTCACTGCAACATTGAGGTCCACAGTATGCTTTGGGGAACATCCGAACCACCTTAGAGTCAGAGCTGAGGTCTGGAATCTGCTGCTTCATTGACACAAGCCTTATATTTGAATTATGAAAAGCACTAAATACTCTAAGCAGTACTAATTATGAGTGCTAATTGCATTTACTCATTTCCAAACAAACAGTTCCTAAGGACTGTCTGCCAAGTCCAGTGCTAGAAGCTGAGGCTGCCACAGCACAGGAGGGATCCAGAAGCCCAGTCCTTGTCCACACATTTCAGAGACCGTACCTAAGGAGTGAAAGAGCTAACTGGTTCCCTTCTATTCAGTGAACAAGTGAAACTGAAAGTTGGGGTGAACAAGAATTAGGACAAGGGGCCCTCTCCAAAGAGAACATACTTGGTCAGAGGTCGGAAAATGCAAGGGAAACTGTCTTTAAGAGCATCGGTGACATTCTGAGCCGAGGGCACAAGATTCAGTGCTTTGGTTTAGGAAGTAGGTATTATGTTCTGTGTGACTCCTGTACATGTTCAGGCCCATCTGCTGTGGCAGGAATAGCATTCTAGGTAATCTCCAAAAGCTGCTTCTCAGACTTCTAGCTCATATGCACCTCAGAGTTCTCATCTTAGAACAGCACGCTAGAGGATCCAGCCAGGGCTGCCCATTAGACAGTGGGTAGGCAAGGAGTATAGGGGCCACCTCATCCTGCAAGTAGCCTGTGCAGACCACTAAGGGCTGAGGAGCTCAGCAGTGCCAGTGGCTGACCCTGTCCAGTGGGGAATGAGCATGTGGTGCTTCTTTTGAAAAAGAGGAGAATGCACTCTGAAAGGTCCGAAAGCATAACACACTCCATTTTTCTCCTGCCTTCCAATTTAAAGTGTTCTTATGTTTGCTATTTACCATCATTCCAAGTTAAGGGGTGTTGAGTTTTAAACTGTTGGCATTGATTTTTACCATTCTAAATTATATAATACTAATTTGGTCGCAAATTTATAACCTTTCAACTCATCACAAGGAATCAATGGACTTTTGCAATTCATATATTATAGCTCATGTATGCATGTTTTGTTCTTTGTTTAAAAAAAACTGCACAAAACTACTTTACGTGTATATATTTTGCTCTTCCTGTATGTGTATCCTAGCAGCCCTCTCTGTCATTAGTTTGCCGTTGAACTGAGTCATCCTGTAGTCCCTTCCTTTCTATGGCAGTTTTCAGAGCATGTGATTAGTTACCACAGAGCAGTAACACAGCTGGGGGGGGGGGGGGGGCGTTTGACAATGTCCCTTGGCTGTCCATAGCTCTGTGTTAACTCCCTGCTGCTTTCTTTTTGCATTCAAAGCAAGGTCTGCTTTGGCAGAAGAGTGTAACACCTCAGCTTTTGTGAAATCTCAGTCACTGAGGAAACATGGTCTCATATCCAGCTGCTTTAGCCGTGTGGCCCTGAAATCCCCAGGATGCATCAAGAAACTATGGCTCCAAATGTCTGGCATTGATAGGTGTTTTTTGTTTTTTGTTTTTTTCCCCTGAAGCCAGGCTATCTATCCCTTGGCAAACTGTGTTGGTATGAACCCAGACTCTTGAAGCAGCCTGTGTGTGCTGTCCTAGAAGAAAACTTTGCTTAGAGACCAAATATCAGAGGAAGAATTACTGCTATGTGTTCCCTTGAGATAGAAGACACAGAGTTGGCAATAAGAAAAAGAAATGTGCTCGTCACGCAGGCCATTTTATATTCGCACCTGTGTCCTTGCTTTGCTTCTCATACTTAAATTATTGTTGTGAACCAGAACATTGACAAGCTACTCATCTCATCCCGGCACCACTCACTCTGTCGGTGTCAGAATGGCCGCTCTGTAAGCAAAGCTTTACTGCAGGCCTTTGTAGAGCCTTCAGCTGAGAGCACTTGTTTTTCTGTGTAGTGACTGCACAGCGACCATGTTGACCCTGATGTCAGCCGGAGCAGAGAGCCATGGTTACGCCTACCTCTCCCTTCATTCCCCAGATGACTGATATTTAACTTCCTTAGAGTGAGCTTGATTGGGATCCAGTTCTGTGTAAATTTTAACTAATAGTAGAAATGTGGACAGTTGGGTGTCAGTCTGACTCTGTAATGTTTTTAAAATGCGCTTCTGAGTAATTGGTGATTAGAAGCACAGCCCAGGCAAATTTGTCTTTTGGGGTTTTGTTTTTTTAGCAGTAAATCTAGCTTAGGGTCAGTATCAAAGGAGTTCTTGTGAGAGGTTCTCTTGGCTAATTGATCAAACAGTTGGAACTGTGTGGCAGAAGTACATAGAAGACTGAAAAATATCATTGTCTCCCATAATTTAAAAAAAAATGTGAACACAGTAGGGCTGTGTATGGAAAGCACCCCTCTAACGGTTCAGCCCAGCCCTTTTGTGCCTTATGGGCTTCCCTGTAACCTCCACAGTGGGCTGAATCAAGTCTGTCAAGCGTGCCTTCGTCCTGTGGCCACTGCAGCAGTGAATAGTGAGAGCCAACACACCTACCATCTGCCTCTTCTATTGCTCACAGGCAAGCAGGGCCTGTGCCTGTGCCTAGAGCACAGTAAATGGGAAGCTTGCCACATGTTATGTTTACAGTTCCCAAGCCAACTAAAGATTCCAAAATGACACTGGTCTGCTGATAGAAGTTTCTACAACCGTCTGAGCCAAGGGCTTTCATTCTCGTCCTCAGATAACTTGTTTCAGGAAAAAGGTTCCCTCACCATATGCAACATGCCCATTAAGAGGAGTTCACCCCGGATCAAGCAGATGGTGGCTTTCTAGAATAAACGTCCACTTCAATAGAACAATAGTCTCAGTGGCATTTGCCATCTCTGCTCTCTGGAACTATCAGTATTTGATGGAGAGAACCAGTTAGCCTAAGAAAAAGTAGTTTTATGCCTTCTTCATCCCCGAGTGAGATTTGCTTTCATTTTCAGCTAACAGATACAGAAACATTTGTTAATACTAGAGCAGAACTCTTGGATGTGTTACTTTAA